CTCAAGAGTAATGTTTCACGAGGGGAAACAAATGACTCACTTACCTGTTGATGCCGCCGTCGTGGAAAACATAGGCTTAGTAATATTAGATATTCAACGTTTTATCAACGTTACATTTGCCTATCGATGGAGTTCCCTGTTCTTATGCCTCGTGACGTTCCAGATTTATTTTTATTGCTGGCATAAGTCATAATTCGCTGAGTTACGCTCCGGCCTGATCGATGCCTTTTTAATTAATGTTATAAGGTCTACTGCATAAGGCGCTAAGCTATTTTAGAAATCATAAAGTCAATACATTGGCGTACTGAATATTTTGAAATGTTTTTAATTTAATATGTAACGAAATAAATAAAAATACGATGCAATAGATATATACCTAATTACATAGCTGAGAAGGTTAGCAAGCTGAACTGGTGATGGGCCGGCAATATGGCTCGTAGAACCGATAACCGACGGAGAAGAAAGGTTCTTGAGTGGCAGCCGTAATGACCATCGCAGTATAGGACGACCCCCCACTAGAAGGGGTGATGACTTGTGCGAATGTGCGGGAAGTGGATGGATGCAGGTGGCGCTGGATCATGCTTCGTGGCAGTCGTAGAGGCCTATGTTCAGCAGTGGACTCAAGTAGGCTGAAATGATGACAAAGATGATGAGTCATTCCTAAACATATCAATAACACAATTTTTGATGTTTGTAGATAGTGCTCATAAAGTAGTGAACTAAACGGTAATTATTAATGAAATGCTACAATTTTACATAAAATTCAAGATTATCTTTACCTCTCGCTAAATTCTAACTTTTGCATATTTCCATTAGAGAATTTGACCCATTCAGCGAAGCTCGTCCGTAGCACGCTCGCGAGGAATTTCGTCAAAGCCAGACCAGTGATGTGCATTCACTGTTTTCCAACATAGAAAACTTTATAACGTTGATTTGTTCATTAAATTTAATTTAAAGTTGATTTTTTTTGTCTATGGTCCGTTTGTCGATTGGTGCACCTCCGCGAGTTTATGTTATAATGTGATGATTAATTCTAGTACCTGATTATCCAGTTGCAGTTAATCATAAATTTTGCAAATATGATTTTTTTACCTTTATTTGATTTTTATATCTGTCTCCATTTACCCATAAAGGGAAATATGTTAGAGCTCGAGTATCAGTTTTGTTTAAAATGTACTATTTTGGCGTACTTGTTTTAGTCTCAAAACGTGGCAAAAGCCCAATAGTACGCGAGAGAGAGAGAGAGAGAGAGAAAGAAAGAGTTTTATATAATAATTGAATAAACTTTGCTCTTGCATAACCTTATAAGTAGTAGATGGGGATCGGTGAACGTCACTCCGAGCGTTCTCGGAGTTTTGTCAAAGCCGCTCTATTGCCTTGCAATGATAGGGATATATCTTTGAGCAACATTTACGGACCTGCGCCTCAACAAAATATTCTTCGTTTCTTACAATATAATTTGAATATTATATTTGATAATGTAAAAATATATTGAATAAAGATATATTTATAAGTGAAGGAACAAGTCGGTACTTACCTAATAATATCTTCCGTTATCAGTGTATAATAAGCATGGCAGTTTTATTGAAAATATCACTATACTAGTGGTTTTAGAATACTTATAATGATAATTTGTGTTATTTATAAAACATTAAATTAATTAAAATATTAAACATGGTTAAGCGTAATTGTGTGTTATTTTAACTAATTGAATAATAAAAATATGATCGAAATAAGATATCTATAATGTGTCATTTTGTGCAATATTTGAATTTCTTTATTAATAATTTGTTTGTTTTTATATATTATTTAATTATATCCATGCGCAATAAAGAGAATAACGGTTGTTTTTTGTAGGACGAGAAGTATAAACGTCAGAATATTGTAAACTGATTTGAAACACCCGCAGGGTTACAAATGCGTTACCACCTTTAAATAATAAATTTGTGTAATAACACTATACAATGATGTGTAAATGTTGTAAAAGTTTATTAATTTAATCTTAGCTTCATTTACGTGCAATTAATGGAGTGGTGAATTTTATGGCCGATGCAATAAATCAATCAATAATTAACACTTATGTAATGATTAAATACGTAAATTAATGGCTAACTCTTAACTTATGTAAACGCGCGTATATAAGTTACAAAGGTATATTTTTGACGATAGCGATTATAAAATAAAACATTACAGGGATAAGATCTTAAGGCTAATTCCGATGTTATTGTAATAGTGCACTGGCGATTTAGAGATGCATTAAAATGAAAACTAAGAGACATTAACGGACGTAATAGTAAGTAATAGACAAAATAGAAGCATATCAAATATGATATATGATATACATAATAAATATATTATAGGACTGTACTAACCTTTCAGTAGTTGAATAACTAATAATCTGAATGAACTCAAACGTAATTAAAATTGAAACTTACTCCAATAGGATTTGTGAAAACTTTTCCGATGTGGAAGCTAGTTAAGTCCTTTTCATGTTATATAGCTTGCATTAAACACTAACTTAACTGTTTCCACGCGGGTGAGCACTAATGACAATGTTTTCTTTTGTCTTCAACCCATTGTAACGGGTCGCAACTTGCTAATGTCTTCGATTTAAACCGAAATCGAACCGTTCGTGGACCTTAATGCATTTACAGATTTTGCAGTTCACCGGTCCAATCAAAATTGATTCCAACAGATTGCTTTTCTTATATAAAATAATTTCCTCTTATAGAATACATATAAATTGCATTTGAGATATAACTTCTCATGGTATTATCGTATTTTGGACCATAAGGTACAAATTTGAGAAATGTTTCTTAAGGCGGAACTATCATATTTCAAAAGTTACATTTGAAGTGTTAATACCACAATCGATCGGAAACCGAGATTCCTTTGTATATCTTATGATCATAACAAGATCGAAATCGGTATTTACAATATGTAAAATTTGAAAACGTCATTTCAATATGTAGTACGATAAAAATTAGTTCTTTCTATTGAATTACGGACTTTCTCAAATTTTCTGCAATTGGAATTTTAAATCTTTCTAAAATGGATAATATTTTTTTAATGGTGAACTAGTTGCTATACTATGAAGATATTGCTCAGATTGGTATTGTGATTGGTAACTTTTTTGTTAAGGACAGGTTGACCTATTTAGGTAATAAGCACCACTAATTTAAGCAAAAACCTCAGTTATGGACTCAAGATACATACATGATTGCATTATTACTGGAATACAGAGTATCGTGTTGACATATAGAAATCAAATCTAGACGCCTTCGCAATGAGTTTCGGATTCTAATGAGCAAAAAATCTCTTCCACGTATCTACTTACGTTTGGGATCGGAAAATCGGATAGTAATTTTCATTTACTACGTTCAGGTTTTGAAAACTGAAAAGTTCTAACATTTTTTACAAAGTTAAAAGAATCGTATCAAATAGTTCACCTACTTATTTTAAAAAAAAAGGATGGCTTAATTTTACTTTTTATTTGTTACTACTAAAACAACGTTTGCCATATAAATTAAAAAAGGTTTGGGGTGGACCACCCTTAACATTTAGGGGCATGAAAAATAGATGTTGCCCGATTCTCTACCCTGGCCGATATGCATACAAAATTTCACGAAAATCGGTCGAGCCGTTTCGGAGTAGTTCAATCAGAAACACCGTGACACGAGAATTTTATATCTTAGATAATCTATAGTACCTGGAGGACCGAGCTTCACTCGGTTTGTTTTTTTTTGGTAAATCGTGTATTTTGGAAACTACATTTAGATACAAATTACTGAGTAATGAAATATGCCTAATATTTTTCGATGTAATATTAAGAAAATATGAACTGGTGTTTTTCACAAAAGAAAGAACTTTAAAAAAAAAGGGGAAAAAATAACAAAATAACAAATCGACAAAAAATAAAAAATAAAGAAAGCAATGATCTGGAATCGAAAAAAAGTGAAAAAATAGGAGTGTAAACGATCATGATACGAACCGCGGCCGTCTTTTTTGGGGCCGCCCGATTACCGACCGCGCTATTATAACATTTCTTTTGCGGCGAAATTTACCGTCATATTCGAATGATATTTTTCATTCCCTGAAAACAGAGATAGGGATGGACATTTTCTAAAAATGAAAGCTAGCTAGATCGATTTTTCGCCCCCGAATCTACCCACACTACATGAAAATCGCTGGAGCCGTTTCCGAGATTCCGATTATATATATATATATATATATATATATATATATATATATACCAGAATTGCTCGTTTAAAGGATAAGATACTCAAATAAGCTATCTACAAGCTATCTCAATTCAATATTTCATTAAAATCCATTCTGCGGTTGCGGTGTAAATAGAAAACGATCACATCATTTGTACAAGATCTCGCATTTGTTTTTTTAAATAACTGTGTATACGGCGTGTCGTTACCACCGCGACAATAAATTAACATACGTCTAAGGCTACTTGCTAATCTTAAAAAATGTAAAACGTTAAAAAAATCCATAATTAAACAAACTAATTACTTAAATAAAAAAATAAAAAACTAATTAAATAAAAAAGAAACAAAATTTGTAACATCCTATACAAATACAACTGACTGATTCATACATTCAGACACTTTTTTGTTCGTTGCCGCAGCGTCGCACTACAAATCTCTCCTTCTAACTGTATGTTTTATCTCTTTCAAATTCATTCAACACAATCATATGCTTTGTGACCTTTACAAATGAATTTTACGTTACCGTTTTATATGTAAGGGCGTTCTAAAAACGTTAGTTTTGGAAAATTTAATAACTCGGTAAATATTGATGTTTAAAGGATGTAAATGTTTAATACAATTTTAAAAAGTTATCCTCTATATATGTGTTCATTTATTGTCGCGGTGGTAACGCTGTATACACATACTCTTTAATGCATATCTTGTCTTATTGTGAAATACAATTGTATCTGTATTAATGAACCAAGAAGACAGTGGTCTAATTTTATTGGAAATTGCTAGATGGGGCACTTGTCGGTGGTGATACCACCAGACATCGCGGACGACGATGGCTCAGCCGCCAGTGCCCCTGAAGGTGGCACGGTGGAACTGCGTTGCACTGCGACCGGAGTGCCAGAGCCCACCGTGTTTTGGAAGAGAAATGAGGGACGCAACATTGTGTTTCGCGATGAAAACGGGAAGGAGAGTAAAGGTAATGTATATGTATACATAGAGGTAAAGGTAATATTTGGTAACGTATTTAATTATATACGTTACCAAATATTATTTAGACTTAAATCTGACAACAACTTATGAATAAAAGAATTGTAAATCTAAACCATTTTCTAATCGACCTGAGGATACACAAAAAACGTTTAAAATTGATCCTGCCGTTTTGGTGTGGTCACACCAAACAGAGTGACATACACACATTCACACACACACACATTCTAGTTGCAAATAGTAGTTGCGTGTATCTTGGGATTGGTTCGGATAATCCACAGGTAATATATGTATATGACAATTTAAGGAGAAAATATGTAGACATATTGTAAAGGCTAAAGCCTTCATCCATTTCAAATGAAGGTAATTGATGTGCATCGTAAAAAATGGGATAAAAATGTCAATTTTCCTTTGAATTTCATTCACTACGTAGATACTCTACTAAGTGGTAAAAAGAAACAAGACTAATTGTACATTCAAAGCCCGCCTCGAGCGGGCGCAGGTGCCCTCGCGGTTAAAACATTGGAGTTTTATGGGATTTATTAGGATATAGCCTTAAGATATTGGAAAAATAATAAAGAGACGAAATAAATACGGGTACTGGTATCTTGTTGAAATGCGGTAAAAATAAGAAAATGATAAAAGTTTCTTTACTTACGAAAAATAAATACGAGTAGTAAAGTATTAATAATAGAAATGTAATTATTTATTTTAAATACCTACGTTCTTGTTCGTTCAATGTAAATTGTTTTTGATTATTGTACCGTTTTATGCTTTCAAGTGTTTTAAATAAACCGCTCTATCATCGCGCTTCAGTGAACACCTTTTATACCTCATTTGAGACTTTCGAGATAAACTTTCTGTGAACATTTTTAATTTACGAAGTAAGTGTCTATGCGCGGGCGCGAACGAAACTCATTTCCGTGCAAAAAAATTGTCCCTAAAACCTCAATTACTACTTAAACAAAATGATGAAGCAATCCAGATTTCGGTCAGGAAATTAAATGGACAGCTAAGTGAAAATAGAGCTGACAAGTTGACACCTTCATTGTTTGGACGACGTACCCGTATCCCTTTATGGATAGAAGAGACGGGAGCAATAAATGATTATGGATGTTTGAAACGTATAGTTACGTGATGCCTTATCATTTATTTTAACATATTTCGTTTTTTGTTTAATTCGTAGTCAAGGCATATTATATTATAAGGCATATAGGTATATATTCCCTAAAAGTACGTCGAAATCGAATAAATGTCAATTTTTGGTACAAATTTATTTCATAAGTATGGACCGCTTGTTCCAAATTTTAAATTCTATGGTAGGTTCGTATTACATTTATGACTGATTTGTTGTTTAACATTCGTTGTGTTTGTTGGGAGAACTTGAACAAACACACAGCATTGTTTTTTAAAAGGATATCGGATATTCTCTTTCTTATTTTTTACTATATGTAAATAATTTCTAAAATGTAAATAAACAATAAAAAGTAAACATAAAACTTTATTTTTAATGGTCTTATGCCTGTTTTGTATGTTATTACCGTTCTTACATTAATTAAGTTAAAGAAAAAAAGATGGAAACAGACGATTAGCGACCGTAAAAATGTCGTTGTATATTGTAGGTGGGGCAAGGGCCTTTGTTCCTTTTGGTTCTTTGGTCATTTATCGTTCCATTCATACTTCGACGATTCTGTTTGTCGTAATTGAATTAGTTAATCAACGTCAATTAAATGTAGCTTAAGGACCGAATATTTACAACGATTAAACAACTTACTCATAGTTTTAATTGCAAATTATTTAATTTTTTCCTACAATCACCGATTAGCTCACGCTGAATCGTTGTTTTATGTCATAACTAGCAAAATTACCTGACTTTGTATGGGCTGAAATTATTGTTTACTGTTTTTCTGAACAACATTTCCATACACATTTTTGCCGTGTCAATTGTTACCATCGTGTTAGATCGGATAAAATTTGAAATATCTATGAGAATATCAATTCGAATAAATTTAAAATATCTAATTATATGTCAAAATATTTAGTAGGTATTCTAATCCAAACCTTCTTATCAATAAACCCAATTACGGGCTCTATCGAATTACAAATTTGACGCAATAGCGCTTTGACAGTTCTACTGCACTTAGTAACAGTTTAGTATTTATCAAGCACAATTAAGTATATATTCACTTATACTTAATTAAAGAGTTTAATATTACATACCCTAGTTATTATGCGAACATTTAAGTTTTTTTTACCAAGATTCTGATTCTACATTTTTAAAGTTTTTTCATCGATACAACATTTTGAATAATGAATATATATATCGACTAGGGTGTTTCACAAAATTTGAATGCAGTTTTGTGAATTAATTTGAATGATATCTTCTTCTTATATATAAAAATGAATTGCTGTTCGTTAGTCTCACTAAAACTCGAGAACGGCTTGACCGATTTGGCTAATTTTGGTTTTGAAATATTTGTGGTAGTCCAGGGAAGGTTTAAACGATGAAAAATTATGGAAAATCGAAATAGCAACAATTTTATTTTCCCATACAAACTGTACCTGTCAACCTGTCAGCTATATCTGTGTAACCTGTCAAACACTTTATGCGTTCGTTCTGATTGCTCTAGAAATAATTTATATGGCAAAACAACGTTTGCCGAGTCAGCTAGTAATTAATAATTGAAGTCCATAATATTTTAACGATCGTAAGTAATAAGGAGTATGATTGCCCGATAATACGATAATCAAAGCATTTAAGGGTTCCTATAATAAGTATTTGTTACATTTTAAAATGAGAATTTACTTAGCAGTCATGAGTTTTCAATACGGAACAAAAGGAATTTTATACACGAAATCAGAAGTGTTGTGTAATCTGACAATGCATTTCGTCCCGTGGGTACCGGAAGAAGTTAGACACTATCACCATGATAATATGCCTCAGCTAATCTTGGTTTTTGTTTTTTGTTTAAAAAAATATCTTCATTACACCGGGTTATACTGTTATTTGTTATATTATTGTTAATATACAGAACAAATAAAAACAGCGATTTGATAAGGTATATCATACGAATCATTTTAATTTAATACAGTTTTGAAAAAGTAATAAAAGAATAAATTAATTTTTTGTCTCTAATTTGGTAGTATTGTTTTAAACTAAGCAGATACGCTGTACTATTCGAACTTAGAAGGTAGCTAGGTAAGCTAGTAAGTAGGTAATCCATCCGCGACAGATATCATAAAACAAAATAATGACAATACTTTTTAATTTTGCCCTTTTCTTTATTTTTACAAGTGATTTTTTTTACAAGTGATTAAGCTTTTATAACAAAAGAGTACCCCATATTAAATTAAATACGTAGTTACTATTCTATAAATAATATAATCTATGTAAGCCTATATCTGTTTTAAATAAAATTATTAATTTCCTTATGAATTTTAAATTTGAAAAATATTTATAAATAACATAGAAATATTATGTCTTAGCAGTAAGTAAAGTTGTCGAATATTAAAACAATATTCTTCACGTACTTTAAAGTCCGAAAATTATTTCTCTTAATTTTTATTTTCATGAGCACGACGTAATAGCTACATAAGAATTTACGTAAGTACTTGGTGGGTCATATTTTTAATTATACGGTCGCTTCAGTTTTCTTGCATTTGCGGTTAATGAGACCTCAACCTAGATTGCCTTCAGTAAATGAAATATTACAGTTTAATTGTGAAAATGTAAACGGAAAATGTCTGGAAGGGGTCATAACAATAAAACCTAATTGAGTTCGTTTCAACCTTTTCGTAGTTTAGGAAATTTATGTTCTGTGCATTATATCATTAATGTTAGTGAGCGGCTTAAATGTAATTAGAAATATTGCATGTTTACGATAACTGCTGCGAAATTATGGCTAGAATGTGTCGCTTGGTTAACAACTTACCAACGACATGTTGAAGGTCGACTTTATAACCCGTTAATAAAACACAATTTCACATACCGCCCGCATTCGATATTATATGCGATATGTAGTACGTAGCTGTATTTTATGCCAGCACCCGAGATTTAGGATCGGGAGGTCGTATGCCATAATAAAGTTATAAATTGCTTCCATTTAAATTTAATTTGACAGCAACCGTTAAACGCTGAAATGCCTTGGCAATGTTTTGATTAAAGTGTTACGCTGGATTAGCGAAGGCAAGTTAATTAAGAAGGTGAATGGCGCAGATACGTATATTTAGTACTCAATACTAAATAAATTAATTTGTAACCAAAACTTAAACGTTCCATTACATCTTTCAATGTCTTTAGCATATAAATTAAAGTTGTATAAGCAATTTTCAATGACCAGTATATTATTTATAAACTGTATAAAATTTTATGATGTAGCCATTCGAAATACAAAAATATAATAATTAAAAATAAATATTGTGGGTTGTAAAAAAATTTGTTTTCTATATTTCTTTATTTATATTAGACTAGCGGACCGGACAGACGTTGTCCTGTACACAACATAATACAAATTGCTTACAGCCGCCTGGAAAAATAATTCGCTTCCGAGAAAAAAATTATGAAAAAACGTGGTTGTGTTCCAAAATTTTCAGTAAGTTAAAAACTGGCCAAGTGCGAGTCGGACTCGCGCACGAAGGATTCCGCACCATTATTTACAAAAACGGCAAAAAATCATGTATGTTATTTGGGAGCCCCAATTTAATATTTTTGTAGGTATTTGTTATTATAACGGAAATGGAAATACATCATCTGTGAAAATTTCAACTGTCACGGTTCATGAGATACTGCCTGGTGATGGACGGACATACAGGCAGACAGGCAGATAGACAGAATGCGGAGTCTTAGAAATAGGAACCCTATTTTTAAGTCTATCTGTCGTTTTACCCTTTGGGTACGGAACCCTAAAAAGGTTTGAATTTATATCAATAGAGAGTATCTGTGTAATCACCCCTTTTTTACGTGGGAAAAATTCTTTATGGATCCCTTGCCACCGGAATAGGGGAGTGGCGCGGTAGTAACCGAGCAAAATGTTCCAGCGTGCCTTTCCTGGAGTAGAGGGGAGGAACTTCCTGAGAAGGGGCTGCTAAGGCGGCCAGCGCCGGCAGGGTCGTTCCTGTGGCCCTGCCAATATGCGCCTAAGTGGAACATCGTGGGGGTTTTATTCGGTGCGAGTCCGACATAACCCGCTCTTTCCCACGCGAGGGCGGGTTGTATAGGCATATCCCCCGCGTTAACAAAAAAAAAGGGGTATGTAGGAGTCCCGGTCAGAGAAGGGTACCCACTAAAAACCCACGTTGCAACTATCTCTGTCGCATCGGCCACGGGAACACGAAGATCCAATCTTCTGCGACCCCGGCGCATGTGAAATTACACTAACCATTTCATCTAAGACAAGGACGACTTTAACTACGAACGAAAATATGAAAATCGTAATAACTTTACCTTTTTTATGTGAAAAGCTGGCATTCAAGCTGGCGGTTCACCTGATGTTAAGTGATAACCACCGCCCATGGACATTTGAAACACCCGTAGGTTGCAGATGCGTTGCCACATTAATAAAGTGCGATCCGCCTACCTCTACCTGACTCACCAGACGAAACGCAGGAATATACACTTCCACTTCCCGCCGGTCTTCTGTGAGGTCGTAGTAATTACCTGGACGGACCTGCCCATTCGTGCAACAGGCGAAGCTTTGTATGGCCCTACCACAGTGATGTTTTCTTAATTGAAATCCTTAAAATCTTCGGCCCTTTAGTGGTCTACAGCCATACTGGGAGAACACTGGTGCTCAAGGCGTTGCGGCGAGAAGATATGGGTACCTACTTGTGTATCGCTTCGAACGGAGTTCCACCCACACAAAGTCGACGATACGAAGTTTCTGTGTTATGTGAGTGATTAGCTAATATTTATAACCGCGGCTATTGGCCTAATATGTTAGCCGTTCATTATAATTGACGTCAAACAAATTTTATACAAATAGCATAATATTTTGAGTTTAGCGTTTCGTCCTTTGTTGGGAATTCAATTATATTATTTTGAAGGGTTATATGAGAAGTTTCGCTTGTTGGTGTTTAAGAAGAAACATCTTGATCATTGTCATAATATATGATTTTTTATTACCTTTTATGAATAAATAATTAGATGTTAATTAAATATTACAAAAATCCAAAAAGCCGTCAAGCTCAGTGTCTGTAAACTCGATTTTAATTCAATATCCTGGAGCAGCCCGAGTTAAAATCCCGTCAATGAAATTCTTAATGTTTAGTGTAGATTTATCCCGTGCTCAGTGGTGAAGAAAATGCCAATGACATGCATATTGTTTTCGAAAAAAAAATCAAAAACATGTGAAATCTACCAATGCGCAGTAGAGTCGCGTGATGGGCTATGCACTTATCTAAGCTTCACCTTTGTTAAGAGGAGGCATTTGCCTGTTAATTACTTTAATACTTTTTCTCATGATAAAAATAAACCAACACAAATAAATTTCTATAAATAAATAATACTTAGAATGTATATACAATATAATTCATATCTTTTGAAATAATACGCTAATCATGTATTATTACAATTAATGTGTTTGGGGGGTGTAATATGTTAATTAAAAGTGGTTAATTACAATAAATATTTTTTTCTGTCTAATGTAGTTCCACCGGTAATCCGTGTAGCCAGTCCGGTTGTGCTACGGGCTACGGATATGCAAGTCACCTTGCAGTGCTACGTGGAAGCTTCGCCTAAGGCACTTACGACCTGGCAGCGTGGAAAAACACAAAATGGTATGTCTAGATTTTAAACATAAAATATGGATTACAAAAAGCTGCTTGATTAACAAAAAATATTTAAGTATTTTATATTAATTTATAATATTACGATTAGACTGTACACAATTTTTATTTTATTATTTAAAGAACGTGGACAAATTTATTTTAAAACGGCACATGTTTCTTTGTGGTAGGTGGCAAGTTATTGAATAGCTCAAAGTATATCATATCGGAAGAAGCTGAGAGCGAATATGGACTAAAAATGAACCTGACTATTACGAATCTAAGGAAGCTAGACTTCGGTGAATACATTTGTGCGGCGATCAATGGGTATGGAAAAGCAGAAGGCTCCATTAATTTGAAAGGTACGAAATATTTTTATAATAACTCCTGAAAACCCACTGTCGGATAATAATAATATATATAGATATCAAGTTCTCAAAAATTAAAAAAAGGGTTTCGAGATATCGAAATAGAAATAGGATTTATAAAATTGCATTTACTTATGATAAGGGAATTATCATAACACGAAAAATAATCAAAATATAGATATGTAATCGATCTCTGTATTTCCTCAACAGAAACTCCACAGAAGACAACTACAACAACGACCACCACAACAACTACGACAACTACAAATCGTCCGACAACGACTCTGGCTACAACTACACGACCACCGAAAAAACATCTCAAGAAACAACCGGAACGTAGCAATCACAACGTTCTCGATGCCGACGTACGTCAAGCAGAAATGAACAATGCCCTCAACTTCTACAATGTAAATGGCTATGGGTCAAACAACATCTCTCATAATGAATACGCCCAACGCACTGAGAGGCAAAAAGTTCGACCATCTGGTCCACCACGTCATTTCGTCGTATATAACAGCAGAGGCATAGTCTGCACTACATCGGTCATCGTATTTTTCGTTGCCACCTGGCTAGTTTATGTCATAACATAAGCTAACAATAACATAACGTATATCATACGTACGACGCCTCACAACCAGTTAAGGTAGTGATAAAATGGCTGTTACATTTTTTTAGATGTAATTTAAATATTTTGAGATTGTTGTAAACAATTTTTTAATCGATACGTTTCAATGTTGATATGATTACGTACATTCGTTTAATAAAGTCGAAGTAAAGAAGCACTTCAGCTTTAATGTAAGGATAATTTTAATAAGACAATAATTGAAGACAATAAAAAATTCCCATTTGAAAGGATTGGGTCTCGAGCGAAATTAATGAAGTCCTAAACAGTTTATATCAATGTTATCATATCATTCGGGATTTGATAAGATTTTTACAATGACATATTTTCTATAACCTTTTTTTACGGTCATGATTGAAGACAACAACCAAGCAATTGTTTTTGTAGCTCATGTTATTTATTTGTATACAGGTATTTATAAGTTTTTATGATTGCCTTTTTTACATTTATGTCACAAAGATGATAAGGGGATATAATACAAACATTTAAAAGTCATGTTGAATCTATATTAATTAATAAGCAATCAATATACTATAAGCAATGAATGGTAACGATAGTTATTAACATTAGCCTTAAATACTTTGTTATTTTAAAGAAAAAAAACTATGTAATTGCAATTACTGTGTATTTATTTTTAACAAAGTACGTAACCACATGTGACAATAAATTATGTATTCATATGTCTATACATCAAAACAGTTGTAACTAACACTAGTGTAGATAAATTAGGTAGGTACTGGCGTATTTAATTCCAAAATTAAGTATTTCGTTTTAATTTCTATCGATACTGACAATAAATGCATGTTGCATTGACAATAAAACGGTTAATAGAGTTTCTATTACTATAACTATATTATGAAAACATTATACGATTACTGTTTACTAATATTTAATTATATTTGGATTGACTGTAAAACTTATTATAACATAATGAATTTGTCTTCCGAATAGTTATAACGTTATAAATTCGGTTCACGAATTAACTTATGATAAAAAAAAGTAGAGAGCGAAGGAAGTTTTTAGACTTCAAAGGAAATTGTAGGTAATGTTTACGAGTACGTAACACTATATAAGCAAAGAAAAGAATTTATGGCAAGTTGCTACGTAAAATTTATTGTATATTTATCCAATATAATACGATTTATCCAATATATTACGAAGCCGTTTATTTAATGATTTGCTCATTTCATAACTATCCAGGCAATTTTTGTTTTCTTTATTTTCTGCTGTTAATGTTCGACTGATATTTGGAACCAATAAAACTTAGGATAATAATCTTATTTTTATGAATCGTTGAAATCACTTGTTTTTTTCCAATGATGTTTTTTAGTTAAGTTATTTATTTTAAGTTGTTTGTAATAACTATACAAAAAATTTGTTATATGTTATCAGCGTCACGATATTAATTGCTTATTTTAGAATTGAAAAATGTGGTACGTTGTAAAGGACAATAATTTTGACAATAGTAGTGTATGTAAATATTTTAGTATGAAGTTAAAAATATTTAATAGCATGTATGTTCTATTTATCAATGTTAATCTTAAGATGTTGATATCATTTTATGATATTTTAAAATAAAAATTACAAAAATTATCCACGAATATTTAAATGTAGCACCAAATTGCGGCCAGAATTATTATTTTCACTCACTTATTGTTACCTATGTATGCAAAATGAATGCAGTTAAAATATCTACGTCAGATTATACAATTAATGCACTAAATTAATACATTATTTCTTAGTACACAATTATTCTGAAAAGTGTTAAATTTTGAAAAAACAATTGTCCATATCCCGATTTTACCATTGCGCTGATAAGCTGACTCGGCCGGGGAAGTCCTTGCATTAATTATCTTTCGTGTGAGGTCATTGTATTTTTGGTGGCACACTGTTTCAGTGAATACGCGATCATAACAGGATGAGCAAAAATAGACGGTGGTTCTAAGTTACATTCAGTTGTCTCACTTGCTCAGTTATCATCGCTTTGAAAAGGAACGAAAAGGACAATGATGACTCCGTGGCGCAGTCGCCAAGGTATTTGGCTTCGGCGTCGGGGGTCGTGTCTTCGATTCCCGCACGGGACAACTATTTGTGTGACCCACAGATAGTTGATTCGCATCTGGGTGTTTGTCCGAGTGAAATTTGTGTTTGCAAAACGTCTTTACAACACAGGATAATGTTATCCTAAAGTAAGGGCAATATTTTTTAAAATAAAATAAAAAAAAATTATCACAAAAAATTTACACAATTACTACTTTGAACAAAGCTTCCTTATTAAAACTTATTTATAATGAAATATATAATGGTGTTTATAACTTCCTATAGACGGACTTTTTTTCAGATGTGGAATGGTATTATAAGCTCGACGCACCGTCACAAAGTGCCGTAAAGCGTATGCGTATTAAGTATAGCGTATAGTCACATCATTGAAGTCTCAAGTATGAATTATAATTTTCATTAAACTACGGACCGTTTTGCAGCGCGCGATTTAACTTTGCGATTGCGATTACAACGCCACCGTAACAAGTTCAGTGGGATTTATCCGAAAGTAATTTCCAGTGAACATCTGCCACTGGTATGAGAGATTCAGCTGATCAATATTCCGGAAGTCGCCTCTAAGAACTGTGAAAAATGTCAGCCTCTTACTCAATCCGGCTGCAAGTTATTTGTAAGCGGGCGTATAATGGATTGCAGTTTTCGAGAGCTTGTGCTCCAGTTAAATAAACGAGTGGAAAAGCCGATGTTCGCGAGGGTACAAATTAAAATTTCTTCAGTGTTCTCGGTTTCAGACTTCGAGTAAAAATACTCCCGTACTTTTTATAGCACAAAACATTTGTTCGCTAGGCAGCGACTGCTACTTTTTCAGTACTATTTTATCTTATCTTTGCGCAAAAAAAAAAACCACCTGCATGTTGTTACGCTGTGAAACTTATGGGAAAATTAATTAGTATCTGTTTGGGTAATTCCAAAAATGATTATGAGAACTGTCATTAAAAGATTATATTGTCACTGACGATATCATAGCGAAGGCCTGAGGTGGTCATTTTTTTAAGTCCTCTTCAATGATAAGTGAAGTAATCACTGTTGTGTGTCCATGATGTTCACCTACATATATATAGAGCCGTGACAGCTCAATGTCCGGGCGATCGCCTTTATTCAATATATTTGATCAACCAAAGTTCGATCTCCGGTGCCGGCACCAATGAAATTGTTAGTTTTAAATGCTCTCATGTCCTCCGCGGCTTGGAAAAAATTGTGAGGAAACTTGCATATTTTTGAAATAATTACAAATAATAAATATTTTGAGGAGCATCCGCCAATCCGCAGAGGCCTTTGCCCACAGCAGCAGACTGTAACTTTACTTTAGTACATAATATACAGGGAGATTTTTTGAGAAGTGCCCAAATTTACACAGGAGATTCAGATTCGTTAGTATAATCGTTTATTGAAATAAAAAACAATGTTTTTTTTTTCAAAGAATGCCATTCTTTTCCCTAAAAAACAGAACGTGTTGACAATGCGGTAGTCATTCATAAATACCAAAATTTTACTGTGCACGAAATTGTGTGCGTGTTAGTTATGAATTATTGCGCGTAAAATAAATGAGTTGCGTACAAATCACGGACTTTTTGAAATAAGTTCAAATGAATGTAATTAATTACTTACGAGCGATTTTAAATATTTATCATTTTATATATAATATTTATTATGTCTAGAATCTAATAAAAAAAAATGGATAAACTTAGAAAAGCCACCCTGTATGTGTATAATTCTCTCATCGGCTTCCTACGGGACCGTGTTGTTTCATCGGATGAGCCAGTCCATTAGAGCAATAGCTGAAATCTATTTTTTTTTCTTATAACTAGAATTAGATTTAATTACGAAAAAATAATTAAATCTAAAAAACTAAACGTTGATTACTTGTGGAAGTTGATTCGTGCCGGCTTCGTGGGTTGGAATGATGAAAGCATCAATGAATGTTTAGACATTTACATGCAATGATTACTGTCTCACACCATTTATTAGGGAAAAGATCGTAAGAGCTCAGTTTCAAAGAATTAAACTATAGTTCTAGTTGTGTAATAAAGCGGCAAACAATAACTTAATGCCTCCATTTAAAGAGAGGACTGTAGCACGAAATGACAATTTATATAGGTATAGAAATGACAATCTGTATAGGTAATCAGATGTCAGATGAAACGTAAATGGGGTTATAGTGAAGAAAAGTATGATACATCAGTACGGCTAATAGAGATGAATGAAGGGTATGAGATGATGTTCATAAGAAATGGACGCTAAATAATAAGGCGACAACAAAAAGTGGAGCTGATTTTTGTGTATCTGAGGGAAAATAAACAAGTGACTTTTTACTTTTTTCTATACCAAGTGGTGGAAACTTAACTACAAACTGATATGTTGGCATCATTATGATGCTCAGCAATGAGCCCTGACTCAAGGAGAGAAGAGTAAATAAGAATAATCGAAGGAAACTAAAACAGGTTTATTACAATTTAAAACGTTTTTTCATAGAGAGAGGTACACGTGAAAAAATAAATATTACATGACGATAGACTGCCAAGTGATCGCTATATTTTGCTTTATTATTTTCGAATCGATGTTGTTTATTGTTCGGAATTGATGTTACTCCCACCAAATAGCCCAGATATCGCGACATCGGATTACCACTTATTTCGATCCCTGGACAACTCCCTTCGTGGTAAACTTTCTAAGTTGATGACGCTGTAAAACCTCGCTTAACTAAGTTTTTGGCCGAAAAGGATAAGACTTTCTACGAGCGAGGAATTTTCAAGTTGTCAGAGAGATGGCAAAAGTTCATGGCAAAAGCAAAATGGAAAATATATTTTAGATTAAACTTCATTCGATGTAAAACTAATCTTTTATTTCATTTAACAAATCTGCTTTAATTACTTAGTTGCCAACCCAATAGTATAGTTTTTAAATATC